CATCAGACTCATTGTATGACACAGTTCTAACATATCTGTAACACACCTCTCTGAGGTTTCACACATTCTGCTTATTTTCATGCTTCCTGAGTGATTCTCCTCATCAGAGAGTTTGTTGAAGTGCATTAAAGTCCCAGTTCTACCTTGGGGATGGATTCTGTATTTATAGTTTACAGCCTGTGGGGATTTTATCCAAGGTCAGTTGTAGATTACCTATTTGGCTCATTGAGCAGCGAGCTCTGTTAGATCCCCTTTTTAATGTGCATCGGTGATTGATTATGCTAGTGTGTTTCTATGCCAGTAGAGGCCTTGACTGATGCATACAGAGAGCAATATATGTATGTGTGGATAGCTCTTGTGCAGAATGTGCAATCGATGCATGGACTCTCCTCACAATAATTACCTCATCCAGAAGAGGGGAAAGCCTGAGGGTTTAGTGTGTGTGTGTGTGTGTGTGTGTGTGTGTGTGTGTGTGTGTGTGTGTGTGTGTGTGTGTGTGTGTGTGTGTATCTATCATTCTTGCTTCCCAGCTGGCTCTTTGAGTCATGGATTGTTGCAGTGTCAGAGAGCGTGAAACTCCTCTTCATCAGTCTCCAATCAATGCTGTTGGTGGAAGCAGGGAGATATGAGGATAGAAGGGAAAACGATGGACACAGAGAAAAAGACACCACAAACGTCAGAGAAAGGCAGACGATGTAGACTGAGAGACTGAAAATCAAAGTGTAATATTTTGCTCCACTGAATGATGAAGAGGAAAAAGAAAAATGAAATGTGCTGTACGGGGTCCTTTTAGGTATGAAAAGGAAACTCAGTGTCCCTTTCATACTTAAAAGAATTACAGGAACCATAAGAATATAACAGGGGGACCTTGGGTATTTCTCTAGCTTTAACTTGATAAGTGCTAATTTTTAACGACCCACTGACCAAGTTAACTGCACATATCTGTGAATATAATAATTTAAAACATGCTGAGGCCATAAGACACAAGACTTCCAAGTCCTAAACAAAGTCAGACGAACTTCATTGTAAAGGTATTATAGTGAGCTGCTGGGTTGGATAACAGTCTGCACTAATTTACCTAATTAAATGGTAACTGATTGCATATTTCAAATAATTCATAGAGCATTTTTAATCTTTGCCCGGTTTTCTCTGCAGAACTAGTACCAAATTTCTAAATTTCAACTTCTATCTTCAAACTTCTTTCAGTGTGTTTACTGAGGTCCTGTTTGAAGCAATTAAGCTCTTTCCCTCTGAATTACACCTCTTTCACATTTACAGGTCAGCCTGTTAGTCTACCAATCTGTGCTTTTGTTTGAAAAACAAAGGGGGGTATAGTGCAGCTATAAGAGAACAGCAATTTGTTAGCATGCAGAAGTAAAGGTGAAGTGATAAGAAGTAGTCACACAATGTAGAAAAAGATAACCTATTTTGAAAGCTGTTATCCCATTGAATCACCATCAGTTGTTATCTATCTTATATTGCCAGTAATTGGCAGGTTCAACCAACTGGTAGGATACTGGTTTGTGTCATTAACTCTTTTAACTACGGTTTTGCTGCACTGCTCCAAAAGACACGTGCCTAATCACACGTTAGGCCAGTGTTATACTTTCCTTTGCCATATACAAGATGCAAAAGTCTGCTTACACAAAGGTGATGCAAATTTTGTTATCAGAGGGTGAAAGAGACTCGTGGATGTATGCGTGAATTCCAATTTGCTGCGACTCCACAGACCTGTCAGCACCCACACAGCAGACTAAAAGGGCACCAACTGTGAGCCCTTGTAGTCTAGTAGACTACGCACATAAGGACAAATACACCTGTGTTGCGTCTACAGTGGGGATAATCCTAGCTGTAGTGAGTTTTATTTACCTTTTTAATATATATATAAATACCAGGGTGAAAATATACAGGCACATTTTTCTAGATGTCTACATTCCTTTCTTTTTATTGGTGTTAAAATGGATTATAAATGACTTCATGGGTTGCAATAGAAGTACAGTATATTTGGTTGGTTATTATCTATGGTAGGGATTAAAACAAAGGTTATCTGAAAAATGTTTGAAGTGTCACGTTCCTAATCACTGATCAGAGCTGATGCCAGCTGAGACTTCACCAGTATCTCTGCTTCAGTTACCCACACACATATGAAAGCACGCATACACTGGTTCAAAATAGCAGGTGAGGACAGGTCGGTGTCAGGACATTCTTGTCACAGCGACGTTCAGTATTGGCACATGATTGTTGAATGATGTCTCTCTCGTTTTCTCTCTCTCCACATGTGTGTGTGTGTGTGTGTGTGATATGACATGTCATGCAGCTGTCTTGCTCTGATCCCAATTAACCCTAAGTCAGAAAAGGTGCTCCTATAAAAGCAGCACATGTGCAATTCAGAGAGCAGTCGCATTGTTTTTGTCTTTTCTTTTTTAAATTCTCATAGGTTTTCCAGTTGCTCACAGCTTTTTAATGTTTTTATTTATTTACTTATTGTCTTTCGATGATACTCATTTCATGTTGATGGTGTTGAGACATATGTAGTATATTCAGTGTACTGTGCCAGTTGAAGTATTTTAACATTCTAAAATGGATAGTTGCTTTGGTTCATGGAGACTTAAGACTAGACTAGATCTGGAAGTTAGGCTTCTACATCCTATAAATATAAATAACACAGATAAAACAGCATTTTAAATTTAAATGTCCTCTTGTAGTTTGGATATTTTTCAGTCAAAAACATATAAACACACCACTTTGTTTTGCTAATTTTATATCTATCTATATATAAAAATTAATTGTGTACTTGTCTGTCCGAACATGCATTTAAATTGTAGATGCAACAGTTTGAAAAGTAACTGTAGGCTTGCTGTATATTCAGGTATTAGCACGAAGACATATATCACTCAGCGTCGTGTATGCTGAAAGGTTACCACAGATTTCTCACAACCTTTATGTATTGTTTTGTCAGTGATCTCTCTATGCGGCATACTCTATAAACAGGTGACACATCCCTAGACAGTGGCTGCTTTCTCTTTCTTAGACATTTCCCATTTCCTAAGAAGCGACTTGGTGTCTCGGTGCTTATTCAGCACATTGAAAGCACGAGTCAGCTCTCCCTTATCAAATTGCTTGTCATATTCACAAAAGAGAGCTGGGAGACTGCTGCAGGACACACTGATATGCAGTAAGCCAGCCTCCTTTTTAAAGTCATTGGAAAGAAATCAGTGAGCTTAAAATAAACCAAGATATTATGATGGAGGAATTATTACTCTTGGATATGAGTTACTGGCTAGAACCATCTTAACCATTTAAGTCAGTCATCTGCCATTATGATCTATTTCATAAACATTAACAACAACTCATTTAGTGACATTTCTAGTTTAATATGAGCCATTTATTAGCGTTGACCTTATAAATAGAATAAACTGCTAGATCAGTTTTTAAAAATGGAATTGAAGTATATTTGCATAAAAGTGCCGGCTATTTGCTGCTGTGGTCAATTAAGATAGATTAAAGGACTAAAGTGGTGATTTCCTCATCCACTGATGGCACTTTGAGGCACAACGGGCTCACGTGTTGTCGATGCCATTGCATGTGTGCGCAACTGTATGTGTGTGTGTGTGTGTGTGTGTGTGTGTGTGTGTGTGTGTGTGTGTGTGTGTGTGTGTGTGTGTGGTGGGTTGGGGGAGGACCAGTATGCTACTGATGCTATTCTATGTGTCATGCACCTTGACAGCTTCTGTTATTTTTTGTTAAGACTGCATGTTTCTGATCTTGTTTGGAAGATATATGTATATTCTTTCCTCTCTACGTTTTATTTGTATTTGTGTGTTTGTTTGTTTGTAGGTGTGTAAATACTTTAAGCTAGCATGCATTTTTTTCTCTGTGTATGTAAACAATACTGATATTAAAATGACAAACTGTTGTTTTTATGGAGAAGCATCTAACCACTTCCCTTGACAGACAATTGCCTGATAAACTTAAACACTACACAAACACTCAGGTTGAACAAAAAAAATGTTTAAAGAGTATTTAAAGAATCTACTGAAAAAAAAAGAAAAAAGAAGTTTAATTCAGTACCCTTATTGTATCTGCTCAAAGTGTCAGATGCTTTCATACTTTACTTTTTTTCTTGTATTGATTAAACAAACATACATAATTAATCTCAATATTATTATGCCAGAGCAAAGTCATTATTGTGTTATTGCTCAGTTTGTTTCCTTTAAATAAAACTGATTATTCTAAATTGTATTATGAAAATTACTATGTGTGCTTATTCATGCTTTATGATTTATAGCATGCCTTGGCAAAAGCATGAAAATAAATGGATAAAGAATAACCCAATAATCACTCAAAAAATATATATTTTTTGGGGGGGTCTCCTTTCTTTCTCTCACTGCCTTTAAAATATTGGGATAGTTGATATTCTAAACAGGGATATGTATGGACAGATGTTTGTGTGTGTTGTGACATCAAATCACTTTTAAAATGCATTTGGGGAAGTTGTCACATGATTCTCTAGAGTGCTCTGCTCTTAAAAAAAAACTCTGCTTCTTTTACAGTCTTTGTTTGTTTTTCTCTTCTATTCTGATCAATTCAGTTGTTACCACAATATCTGATGTGTGTAATTTATGCTACTTTATGCAATGTTTTAAAGTTTATGATCTTGAGACGTTTATCTTTAGTTCAGTCTTCATTTTCAACAGAAAACTAACATTTTTTGCCTCTTTTTTAAAAGTCCCTCTTTTTTTGGTCTTTAACTTCTTAAATGAACTCAAGCAGAGTAAATTCCAACATTAAACAAAGTGGACATTGTGGTAATGTTTGCCCAGTCTGCTTGTCAATGTGAGGATTTTTCTAAAAAGAAAAAAAGAAAAGAAAAGAAAAAAGGGGGCTATAAAATCAGTAATGATTGAAAAAACTTTCTTTCTTTTGAGAGCATCTTTTGAAGACTGTTTGTGTTCTTGATCACCCTGTTTTCCTCCATCTTCTCCTTCTTGGTCCTATAGGTCCCCTTACAAAGAAACACAGTGATGATTTAGGTGATAGTGACCGCACGGACGACGAAGGTATTTTTTCCCCCAATGCCAAACTGATTTGCATGACAAGGGAAATCAAACTTACCCTTTCTCCTACAATTTTTATCTTCTTTGATTTTCTTACATTTCTTGTCCTTTTTTTGAAATTGATGGACATTTTCTTTTTGCTCTTTACTCGTAAACTCTCTTTTTGGGCTGGATGTGTTTTGTCCTCTTCAGCTTGATGTCTAAAATTTACATGTCTTCCACCATTCTTTGATATTAAAACTGTAACATATGTAGATTACCTGCTTGGATTTGCTGTTTCCTTTTCTTTACTTTTCTATGTTGCATCCCACCAGCAGATAGAATAACTATTAACCCTTCAGTCAGCTCTTAACACATTTTTGCATGTTTTTTGTTTTGATTTGCCTCGTTTCTAAATTATGATCATGTTCAAAAGTTTAACCGTTGGCTAACTGGCTTTTTTCTACATTAACAGATCTATTTATGTTTTTGGCATCAAAATAACCTTTGTAAATATGATAAAAATACTAGAAGACATGTTAATATCTTTCTCAGCCCTAGTTGCTGCAAAGACTTGTGGGGTGCAATGCTGGACCAACTTACTACCTATTAATATGTAAAACTTGAATAAATACACTTATTCAGCATTTGCAAGGAACCCACATGACATAGCATTATGTTTAAGGTTTTCACCGATGTCCTCACTGTACATAAACACTTCTATCACTTGGTAATTTCAGTGGAGCAATCATGTTGCTTCTTTGATTGCAGTGAATGCTCACACCGCAGATTGCAATTAAAATTTAGCAAACATCTCTGTGAGACAAAGCTGCTTCTCAGGGGCAAATACCTCACTGGTGGAATTAAATCTCCTGTGAACCAACTCAGCAAAAGGTAAGACAAGGTGAAGTAATTATTGTGGCTTAGCTGATCAGTTTTCAAAGCAGACAAACTTGTAGTTAGAATGTATGTAATATATTATCATTAATATATTTAATTTCCATTAATATTGACTTTGGTAGGTAATTATTGATCCTGGTAATTAAAGACTGACATGTAGATACATGTTTTAATTTAAAGCTCTGGAAAAGTGGACCCTGACGTAAGATTTACTTTATACATTTTTTTCTGTAAATAGTATATCTTTACAGGGTTAAACAGATTCCAATCTGCTGCACTTTAGGTCACTCATTGTAATATAAATAACTATATGGGCTAGTTATATACATTATATATAAAATCTGTGTCTGCATAGGGACAAGATCAAGGATGCTAACCCACAGTTTCCTGCCACAATGTGCTAGTACAGAAAATTATAAAGAGAAGACTCTATAACCATATATAGTAATCAAGACATGCTAGTTAACCCATAAATATGCCTGGTTCTGTCAAACTCACCATGTGTTTGAAAATAAGCAACATTGTTACCTGTTCTGCTCTTATTGCCATGAATTTTCTAAACTCAAATGCAATAAAAATAAATTATTTTGTCCCCATGTACTGCTAATCATTTAAAGCCATTTAATCCTTTAATGCAAGGCGTGTTGTATTGTTTAAAAAAAAAACACTTCAGGGTTCCGGCGAATGTCTTTTGAAAACTGCAATGACTCTTCTTTGTATTGAAATGAGTGGTGTTATGATGCTATGGCATTCCACTTGAAACCCATTAATCTCATCAGTAGAAGAAAGAAGAACCTTTGCTCAATTGCCATAAAATAGGAGATCTTTGAAAAGTCATATTACAAATAAAATGTCTTTGATAAAACCCAGAGATAGTGTCATATCCCCTTGAGACTGCTGCAGTGCAATTCTAATGACAGGCAGAAAGTCTTAATAAAGCACCTCTACTGTATAATGTGATGGAGTAAACAGCAATTACATCCAAGTAAAACTCACAACCATCCAGATCCTTTTGATCTGCATCATCATGCAGTTTTTATGGGAGTTCAAACACACACGCATACACACACACGTCAGTAAGATTATAGAAAGTCACAAAGCTCACACAGATCTATTCAATGAATTCCATGCTAGCTTCAAGTGTTATCTCGATAAAGGATGTGGAGAAGACAAGTAATCCAGTTTAATTTACAGGGAAATATGTTTCAGAATGCCTGCATGGACACGCAGACCCTCACTCTCTTTCAGGGCAACTCCAATCAGTCTGAACTCTCCCTCCCCATTTTACTTTCCACGTAGCTCTAGAGGCTTTGACCTTTGACATAGTGTTGCCTTTTATCTGCCAACTCATTGAGGACATCCCTTCACAACCCCTCCCATCCAGTATCTTGCATTTTATAATCTCTTTATATTCTCTAAAGCTGCTATTTGTAATCCTTTTTGTGCTGGGAATAGAGATGTAAACAGGAAAGCCCAGAGAACTTGTTAGAAGCTTCTGTTTCAACATCAAATATTGCTGGAATAGTTAAGAGTCAGAATGTGGAAGTGAAGCTGTTTCAAACTGTGGCATCTACTTATGGAGGCTCTAAGTATTACATGTTATTACCTGTGAAAGATTAACCTCCAGGGATACAGTATAGATTAGAGTGTTAGGGGCCCAGAGATGTTGCTAATACCATGTAGACAATCTTGGAGTAAAAGAAAAGATCATAACAGTATCAACGACTGTAGGAGGAAGCCGGAGTACACAGGGAGAACTTGCAGACTCCACAATGAAAGAGGTGAATGGTCCAGATGGTGGAATCGAACTCAGGACCTTCTTGCTATGAAGCATCAGTGCTTACCACTGTGCTCCCCTTCTTTAGTTCTGTGGATTTAAATTCATACAAGATGGTAATTTTCCTTTGGCTTCAGGTCAGGGAAGCGGGTTGTCACTATTGATAGTGCTTAGATGCTGAGACTAGCTTAGAACACCTGGCCTTCTTGAAAATCTTGGGTGGGGTGCTGCAAGCATCCCTCCGAAGGCACTCTTGTCTACTAGGTACTTCAGTGCTCACATGGATAATGATAATGTAACCCCAAGAGTAGTTCTGTTTCTAGAGTTCAGTGCCGATCATGGATAGTCCATAACGGAAACTATGTTTGACCATGATTGTGTCCAAAGTGCACTTGGCAACAGGAAATGTTGCCAAGTTTGGTTGGATTCTGGAGGTAGCTGATCAATGCTGGAAAAAAAAAGGACATGGCTCTGTCAAATCCATACTGGCAAACTTTGGGAGAAGTCTGATGAGGCCAGGGAACAAGACTTTCAGTCGACTTCAAATCAATTCTGGCAAACCGTCAGGTATATATGGTTGGGTTGGCGTGCTGACGTCAACTGAGGACACAAGAAATAGAAGCAGTGTTTGTGTGATGCATATGACTTCCATCACTAGGTGTGAAGTCACTGAGGTAGAGATGGCTGAGCTTTCCCTAGACTCCATTCAGACTCTGGATGTTGTGGAAATGAATTGGCAAAGTGTAGTGGTGGAGAACGCATTTAAGCACTTCCCTTGTCCTCTGGAGCGTGGTGGTGCGGGGGCTGTCATTGTTGGCTATTTAGTCCACGTAGAGCAGTAGTAATAGTTTGTTTTTCATTGCTGGCAAGAAGTTGGACTCATTTCCCTTAGGTATGGGGCTCCACCAGGTCTGGCTCTTGTCATCGATTCTGTTTGTGATTTTAATGGACAATGTTTCTAGATTCAGGCAAGGGGAGGACAGTTTCAGGTATGGTAGCCTCGGGATCTTATCTTGGATTTTTGCTGTTGATGTGGTGCTCTTGGCTTCACTGGTTGATGGACTCTAGCTTTCACAGCCATGGTTTGCAACCAAGTATTGAGCAGCTAGGATGACAGTTAGTACCCCAAAGTCTGGTTCTCATCAGAAAATGAAGGCATACCCACTTGGGGCAATGATCCACCATCCCAAATAGAGAAGTTTAGGTATCTTTGGGTTTTGGTCATGAGTGAGGGAAGAAGGGAGTGGGAGACAGTCAAATGGATTGATGTAACACCCTGCAATAATGGGGTAAATATAGAGCTTAATTCAAAAGTGTGACCTTACTACTTGAGCTATGTTTTACATTTTTACCCTTACGTATGGCCGCAAGCTCTGGGTAGTGACTAAAAAAGTGATACACAGATAGAAGTTGTGGAAATGGACATTATTGAAAAGGTTCCCTGGCCTCAACCTTAGAGATATTGACCTTAATCATTGGAAAGGAGCACAGGGTAGAGCTGCCAACTGGATGTCCAACTGATAGAAGACCCTGAAACAGAACCAGGACAGCGTTTATTGTAGATTTAAATGTTAGTTGATTTGGGAATGATCAATGTTTGTACTGCATATTATAATTTAGCTGAAATATGGTTTTCTAATTATAATAAAATGATTGGTCACTGTTAATACATGGTAGATTTAAATAAATATATCTAAATCTCTTCATCATACATCTCTACATTGATGCCTTCTTAACCATGTTAGTGAAGAAGTTTTTATGAACAGTTTTCACTGAATACATTTTATTAGGCAGCCTTTGAATCAGTTTTTAGCACTTGGCCTCATTTTTTTTCTTGCTGGCCTTACCAGGATTCCTGTGTCTTTATTCCCTGCAGCAAAAAGCTAGAGCTAAAGAAAAAAAAACAACCCTTTTCTTCTTGTGACTGTTGTTGGTTTGATAAGTCCTCTACACTGGCAAAGGGAGAGGATACCAAAGTTTTTGCAACAGCCTGGGGGCCTCTCTTAGGGTTTGCCCAGAGAAATCTAAAGCACCTGAATCTCTTTGATCATAACCTCATCCTCAAGGAAGCAATGATCTACTCCATGCTGGCATGGCACCTCTCCTCTGACAAACCCTCCCTGACCCATACTCATCCCAGGGAAGATTGAGTGGTAGAATCACTACATGATTGCATCTTATTTTCACTCATCTTAGAGCAAGCTTTCATCTTTCTGCTCACTGTGAAATACACAAACCCACACACACAGACACACAGAAAAGAGAGAGAGGACAGTTGAATTTTCCTGCCTGATTCTAGACACATTCATTGAAAATTAAGTTACAGGAATCAATATTAACTACTGAT